ATACTATTTTAATGCTGGATTATGGTTTTATACCCAGCAAATACAATTCTGATTACTGATTGTTGTCCTTCATTGAATTCTTGGTTTCTGGCCTGCTCAGGTCGTAATGACAAAGGGCAACTGGGTCACGGGGACACCAAACGTCTGGAGGCTCCCAAGCTGATCGAGGCCTTAGCAGATCATGTGATTGTTGCTGCAGCCTGTGGACGCAATCACACTCTGGCACTCACAGGTAGGTTGAGCCATGATGTGCATTATCATCAGGGGGGTGCTCACTGTATCAACTGATTTCACTTCTTGTAATTGGTAAAATCATCTATTGTAATAATTGGTTGGAATGAAAACCAGCATACTTTGGTCATCACTGATTTTCCCCAAATGATTTTCATTGCTTTGTATTTATAAATGTTTTGCAATGTGAGAGTTAGTATATGCTGCTGATGTTATTCTTTCTCCTCAGAGAATGGCATTGCGTACTCTTTTGGTGAGAACAAGCTGGGCCAGCTTGGTCAAGGCAACCAGACTGATGCAGTCCTCAGCCCAGCACCGGTAAGCCAAACCTAGCACAGAATGCATGCATATCCACCAATCAGCCACAACATAACCTAATGAAATAATAATAATTGTGGAAACAAACATCAAACAATCTGTTAAAAAGAAAAAAAAAAGCTGAAGAGAGTAAAGCTTCTACAACAGGATAATGGTTCTAAGCATACCTCGAAATCCACCATGGACTATCTCAAGAGACGCAGGCTGAAGGTTTTGGAATGGCCCTCACAGTCCCTTGACTTAAATATCATTGAAATGTATGGGTAGATCTTAAAAGAACTGTGCATGCCAGATGGCCAAAGAATATTGCAGAACTTTAAGCAATATTTAAAAGAAATACAAGAACAGATAAACCTTTAGCTGGCTACAAAAAGCATTTGCAAGCTGTGTACTTAGTAAGCCAGAAATGGGGGTCCATTTTTATGTGGTTGTAACCAGAAATATGGAATTTTTTTTTCAAGGTGATGCAAAATTAGACCATAGTACACCTGTGTAAACTGACCTTTCAGTGGCTTCCTAGTAAGCATGTTGGTGTACCTTCTTTATAGTTAACTCTCTCTCTCTCTCTAGATTTCATACAATGGCCAGCCCCTCGTGAAGGTGGCTTGTGGTGCTGAGTTCAGCATGGTGGTGGACTGCAAAGGAAACCTGTACTCCTTTGGCTGCCCAGAGTACGGACAGCTGGGTACGCTCACAACATGAAAACACATCCATTGTTCTTAGTGTCAGTGTTTTAGAAAGTTGGTGATCAATAAGACAAATGGGAGAAGGTTGGTAAAGGCCCATGTTGGAGGTTGACACCAGTTTTCCAAAGAAAACCCATCATGGATACACTGGTATCAGCACCTGAATATGTCACTTAAGGTCATTTAGAAATGGTGTTGGTGTTTGTTCACCAGAGAGCACTGACAAGTTGACCTTTCCAAAGTTATAGATTGTGTATTTGTGATATATCAGATTTGTAAAACTCACTGGTCTTATTGCAGGTCATAACAGTGATGGAAAGTTCATAGCTCGTGCCCAGCGCATAGAGTTTGACTGTGAGCTCATTGCCCGCCGCGTCGCTATCTTTATTGAGAAATCCAAGGACGGTCAGATCATGCCCGTGCCCAATGTGGTGGTTCGAGATGTGGCCTGTGGAGCTAACCATACGGTGAGACAGTATACTCATTACTTTAATTAGAACCAAATGCAGTTATAGCAGTTGTAGTCTTGCATAGATTATTACATTATTACTGTGTGTTTTGCAGCTGGTGCTGGACTCTCAGAAGAGAGTGTTCAGCTGGGGTTTTGGTGGTTATGGGCGTCTGGGTCACACGGAGCAGAAGGATGAGATGGTTCCCCGACTGGTCAAACTGTTTGACTTTCCTGGACGCGGTGCCAGTCAGATCTGTACAGGCTACCAGTGTTCTTTTGCTGTCAGTGAGATGGGTAAGAAGAGACCCATTGTGGTGCAAACAGATTTCTAGAAAGGGTCTCGCTCAGATAGGCTAGATTCACATTGATGTCTAATATTTACAGAGTCAAAGTAATGTATACTATAAATGATGCTCTTTGCAGGCTTCTGTACTTGTAGATGTCTGATCAGTGTTGATTTGCAGGGGGGCTGTTTTTCTGGGGGGTGACAAACACTTCCAGAGAGTCAACCATGTACCCCAAAGCTGTGCAGGATCTCTGTGGCTGGAAGATCCGCAGTCTGGCATGTGGGTGAGTGCTGACACTACTTATTCACTCCTCTGGGATATGGTAAGGACACTTTATTGTCTTGCTCTAAAGGGACAGCACACCAGGGCTCAGAGCTCTGACTCAAGGTGTATCTGAAGGCCCCTTAATGCTCAACCACTTTTCAAATGGCTAGTGACTTCAAATGTTCCATCCCTAGCTCTACAATCACATGCAATAGTTTTTTTTCTGTGTGGAGTTTGAGTGTGTTTGTATTTAACAGGAAGAGCAGCATCGTTATTGCTGCAGATGAGAGTACAATCAGCTGGGGCCCCTCGCCTACATTTGGAGAGCTGGTAAGACCTGAGGCCTCAACAATGGCGAGGTCATTCCAGAGCATACACTGTTCTTCACTCAAATATGTCAACAACATTGATGACAGGAATATTGTTTGCAGTCATAGTGGAGAGGTCAGCTCTGATTGTATCCTGTAATTTCTCCTAAGGGGTATGGAGATAACAAACCCAAATCATCCACCACTGCTCAGGAGGTCAAGACTTTGGATGGCGTCTACATTGAGCAGGTAAATGAACACAATCAAGAATTCTGATCAGCTCCTGACTGGGGAAAACTATGACTACATAACACATCACTTAGATTTATTAATTAACGCACAATGAGTCATTTAAATTTGAATGCGCAGTTGTTTTTTCTCCGTTTTGTGATCTTAACATGAGTTGACAGTCATGCCAGCAGCTCTGTGAGGCTGTACTTAGCTACAGTGGCGCTTGTTAGCAGCTAATGTTAGCATGCTAACATGCTCACAATTGAACATGGAATCAAGGAAATGTATCATTATGCACAAGGTTGTATAACGAAATGAAAATTTGCAGATACTACACATGAATAAAAAAAGATGATTATATTCATAGAATAATATGGAAAATAAACCAATAATTACAGTTACTTATATAAATAATACATGCATGTATATATCCAGGAAATTATTCTGTAGTGTATTTTTGGGAGAATGTAAATGGCAGCATAGTGATGGTATGTATTGATTTGAGCTGGCTTACAGTTCATCCTGAGAGAAACATGGATGTTCAACCACATTCCATGCCAATCCATCCAGTGGTTCACTAAAAAAGACAAATATTAGCCTCAAGGTGGCACTAGAGGAAAGGGACGACAAGTATAGCACTTACTGGAAGACCAATCTAGCTTTAGACTGTTTCTCATTTCCATGATGCTGAACATGGTGGTGTGTTGTTTTTGCAGGTGGTGATGGGCTACTCTCACTCTCTGGTTATTGCCAGACAGGACACTGAGCAGGAACAGGAGAAACTGAAAAAGCTGCCTGAGTACAACCCCCGAACAATTTGATTGGACCTCCAACGGCAACACCTCAACCTTTTTCACTGGAGCAGAGACCAGCAATGCTCAGCAGCCGGTTTAGTCGATTCCAGTCTCGGTGGTGTACTAGTGGGATGGTTGAGTTCAGGGGGAGGCTGAAGGATATCCACACATCTCAACTACCAGGAAACTGGCTGAAAATGGAACAGGAGACGGACAGATCCTCTGGATGGTCCATCTCTCAAAATGAACGGTCAAGGTATCTTCACTTCCCACTTAGAGTGAACCTGCAACAGTTTGCTCCGAGCACTTCACACCTAGCAGAGTCGTGCTTCCCAAAACCCTTTTTCTATTTTGTAATACAGCCAAACATTCATGTCTTTATGTATCTTGTTCTGTTATCTTTGTTGCAGTATTTGAAATGATAAAGTTGTCACAATTACGGGTGCTACAGCAGGACTCTCAGTCTTTTCCTACTGAGGGGTTTTCAAAGACCAATACTCCATACCTGTGCCTTTTTCTAAATGTATGTTCAGGATATGGAAGTGTTGTTTGTTTTGTTCAGGGGATCCGCTGATCAGTCTGATTTATTGTATAAGGCAGTGTGAGCAGATGTGTTTGCAGCTGCCACAGATCACAATCAGGATTCAGAACATGATGTTCTGAGTTAGTGCACTCCACAAAATGTTACATTCCTTTTGTTGTCTTCAGTGTTTGCATCAAGGATGCACACCTCAGTCCTTCCAAGACTAGTGTCTTCTAGCTCTTGTCTTTGAGCATCGAAATAGTTACTATTACTCAAATTAGCAAAGCATTTTCACAAGCAGGTCAGAACTTTTAGAACCAACAGTGCAATGTGTAGAAATGGTTCAGTGTATCAAGGTGTGCTGGGAAAAAAACAAACAAAAAAAAAAAAAATAGAAATGGTGTTTCCTTCTACTCGTACTGCATTCTTTTTTTTACGGTGAAACTTCTCTGGGTTACATTGTTTTTTTGTTTTTTTTCATTGAAGTGGTTAAATAAAGATTCACATGAATTTATTTTGTATTCTTCACTTCTCCATATGTACTTTAATGGTACCATTTATCTTAGTCCAAAATCAGTCATTTCCAAGTATTGTGTCCAAGTAGCCACCATGTTACAGCTGTGGTGGGAGTCATCTCAAAGGTGGTCCGCTTACTAGATTTTTCAGAGCTTTCAACCACATCTTAAGTTGTCAAAGAAATAATATAACTATTAAGATTGTATATGAGAAACAAACTGTTATTCTGGTGGTTCATGCCAGAGGGGTTTCATAAACTCAGATCACCAGCAAAACACTGCTTTGTGAACATATGATTTGCAGCACAAAAAAAAAGTAATTGATATTACACTTCAATAGTTGTAGTTCAGTTGCATATTTAGAGTGCCCCTTCACTCCTTTCCTTCTTGATCCTACAATGAAATGTTTGAGCTTCACTGTGCATAATTTGACACTAAAAGCATGTTTTCACATTCAACTGAAGTGGAAAGTTTCTCTGCCCATTGAGCCTTTCAATGGGCAGGAGGTAGGAGGCATCTTGTGTTGTGTCGAGCAGGAAAACTTTAATTTGCAGTCATACATTCTGGAATTTCAATTTTTTTTTTCAAGCTATTTGTCTTAATAAAAGTCTCCTTATTCTAAAGGGATCTTTAAAATAAGCTTATATATTGTTGTGTGTGATGTATTCACTCAACATGAGATTCTAAATGCATAAGCTCATTTAACAACATGGGCTGTAGCCTCATAGGACCATTTTCACCATTAAATAAAACAAAATAATTGACAGAATAATTGACAGATTCCTCCTGTATTTGTGTGTAGTACATACGATGGAGAGAAAACACATTTCTCGTACTGGACCTGAATTCTTGACATGATTACAGATTTCTGAAATAAACTGACAAAATCAATGCAAACTAATGTTCAACATGTCCTGCTCTGCAGCTGTGAACATTGCAGTTTTGTCTTCACTGAACAGATGTGTACCTGTAATCTCTGTAAGGCTACCAAAGGTGTACAACCATAATTGATGTTTACAATTGAAACTTAACAGCCCCTTTAAAGTTTGGCCCAACTAATTTGTAACCCATATTGGTTTTTGACAGATTACTCCTGTCCTGGTGACACACAAACCTCAGACAAAACTTCTGAGACAGCATTCTGTACTGTAAACAACATTTATTTAAATGTACAAAATCAGATGAATTGTCAGTTTAGTCTTCATCTTCCTCCTCCTCTTCATCTTGGTTGATCTGGAAGTAGCGGAGCTCGTAGCTCTCCTTGGTGTTCGCCACAACACGCAGCCAGTCACGAAGATTGTTCTTCTTCAGGTACTTCTTGGTCAGATACTTCAGGTATCTGCAGAACAGGAGACAAAGTGGTGTCAGATTCACTTCTAGATGAATCACTTTCAGAACAGGTATGTGGAGGTTTTTAATCAAAGTGTTTCATATGGACTTTCATCTGTTCTAATATTAAATTGCACAATTAATTTAAGTAGGTACATTTGCTGAAACTTCCCCTATATGCTGGCAGTAGTACATCAGACAGGTGATCTGTGAAAAAATCTGGTTGCTCTGGACTCTTATAGTGCTCCTGGTAGCACTTGAAAGAAACCACCCATCAGAGGCAGTAAGGATAGTTAATTGAGTCTCATTCCCAGGGCGTCACATTGAGGACCCAGGGAGACCTTGTTGTTTAAGGATGTTTCTACACCCATTTATGGATAATTGTGTATATATATTTTTAAAAAAAAAGATAAAGGATGATGTGACATTTGTTGGGGTCTATACCAAACAAACCTGTTTTCTTGAATCTGGAAAACAAGATTTGTAGGCCAGGGAATCTCTTCAGAGCTACAGTACTTCATTATAACGCTCCTGTCACACAGTTGATGCTTTATCAAAAAAATGGCACCTTCTTTGATTTGGATATTGATCATATTTGGATTAACTGTGCAGCCCTATTTTATGTAAACTATTCATTACATTTACAGAGAATGCGCTGTAAATAGATATATAAAAATGTGATCTTAACTGCATACAATGTTAGGTAAATGGTCATGATGATTAAGCTTGTCGCCCAAATTAGGCTGACATCATCTGAGGTGTTAGTTTTCATTATTCCTTGACTGACTTGCTGCTTTATTTCTGTTTGACAAATGCATCACTGCAATTGCAAACTTGTTTGTGATTAGTATACAGAAATGGAAATTTACATACACACTTTTATTATTATTATTATGCCAAATAATCACAAACACACTACAGGGACATTGTAGAATTCTACAACCTAACATTTTACACGACCATTAACACGTGTCTTCCACAAGAAAAAAAACGCACAACAGCCCCACAACTGAAAAAAAAAAAAAAAATTCTCCAGTGTGTCGGATTTAGTGGCATCTAGCAGTGTAGTTGCAAATCGCAACTCCCTCCCTTCATCCTCCCCTGTAAATATGAAACTACAGCCAGCTGCTTCTTGGCTTAGCATAAAGACTGGAGGCAGGTGTATTAATTAGCTTCTGCCAATAAGAAGAAAGAGGTGGGTTTATATGAGGAAGCATATAGTCAACAAATCACCACAGAGAAAAAAAATGTAGAGTTGTTCACACCTATATCCTGTATTCTTAACACTTATCATGACGTATGTCATGTGAGAAAGAGCTGAGTAAACTGAACTGTTACTGGAGGAGACTAAACATACAGAACACACAGCACAGCAGTTTTCTATCATGTTCTCATTCAAAATGTACAACATAATCAGGAAGTTCATGAATTGTATAAAGATGTTAATCTGTCTGCTCTGGTAATTCACCAATACCTCCTTAAACTGAGTCTTAATATTTATATTTTAATGTATGTTTTTCCTGATCCAGATAGGCTATCCAGATACAGATCACATGGTAATACCAGGTGGAATTAGGGCTGTCGCAGTGAAGGAATTTCAGTGATTTCATTTAGAGTGGCTCAACAGTGTGGTATCATCATTTTTATTGTTTTCATAAATTATTTTGTATGGTGTGACCCTGTTAACTGGCAACTTTCTGGCGAATAAAGTCGGCAGTTAACAGGGTGACTTGTTAAACCAAAACACTGGCGAGCTGCATAACACAAACGCCATGGCTGCAGTAATAAGCGACCAGTCTGTGTTTTCTACCGTGCCGCTATATAATTATACAAGCCCATTATGGGATACTACAGGCCAACGTGGATGCTATAGTGTCCTCCAAAATCCATTTCTGAAAGCTGCATGTTACAAGATGTCCATGCTGATATACTGAGTTTAAAGTAATACTGGGACCCCAGAGTCCATAGCGCAGTTTAACATATAATAAAGTGTGAAGAATGGCTTCTTACCGTTTGGAGAAGGGCACCTCAGAGGAGACTGTAATCTTGCTCTTGCTCCTCTCAATGGAGACCACACCTCCACCCAGGTTGCCAGCTTTTCCGTTCACCTTGATGCGTTCCTGAAGAAACTGCTCCTGGAAACATCACACACACATACACACAATTGTAGACTATTATGAGATCCCCATGCTTAGCCTAAATATCTAATATTCACTGTGATGAATTACTTAACCCAAGCACATGTTGAGTCTCCATTAGTTTGCCTTCATAGTGTAGTGACAGTCATTTATGTATGGTGAAAGTCAGCATTAATGTTGATCGTGTTTAATTTGTGGTAAACACACTGACATCATCATCATCATCATCATCATCAGTGAGTGACTTACAAAGTTGGCAGCATCCATGATGCCATCTTCAACAGGGTGGGTGCAGTCCAGAGTGAATTTTAGGACCTGCTTCTTCTTCTTACCACCTTTGCCGGTGTTCTGCTTCTTCTGCTAATATACGAAACACATTTAGGTTACTGTATTGAGTTATGAGGAGCGCTGATTTGCCAATAAGAAAGGCAAACATATCCAAGAGTTCGTCTTTCAGTCCATCAACGTTCCGGCGTCAGAACAAAAAAATGAACAAAATGGGAGACCTAACTGTGATGTCTTTAGATATCAAACGCTTCTTAAACCATGTTATTTGTGCAACTTGTTACACAAACTGATGTCATGCAGCAACCCGAGCACGTTAGACGAGTTAACGTTAACAACGTGGTGAGCTGAAGTCTCATTGACGCTATTAGCTAACGTTAGCTAAACGGCAGCCACAGGCCACAGAAAAGCTAAGCTAACGTTATATGTGTTAAAAAAAATCACAGCCGATCTCAAACTCCCTGTATTTTCACAATGACTGTTACAACAAGACTGTCATTCCACCAGGGTTGTTTCTCTGGCTTTCACACTAGAAAGTCTACAATTTTGGGTGGATTTATCAACACGCGATTTACTTACAATAGGCGCCATGGCGGAGAAGCTAGCAGAAAGGAAGAACAGGCCGTGCGCATGCGTAACGTGCACAAATCAAACGACGAATTATGGATGAAATCCGTGCATCTGAAATTGATTAACAATTTTCCCACTTCATTTGAAAATGCCAGAATGCGTAAAGTATAAAAACATATGTTAAAGAAACAACAATAAAATCGAATATATGTGTATAATATACTGTCATTTATTTGTTATGGCTACATTTTAGAGTAAGTGATTTGAAAAAAAATTCTCAACATTTGGAGGAAAAAAAATAATTTGACTTCTAATGCCACCTATTTATATTCAATGCTTTACCTTAAAATATCTTCATTTATGTTTTTCTATGCAAATATATGTGTGATTACTTCATAAGCTAATTATATTGGATCAATTTAAATCTACTATTCATAGAAAATGTTTGTGCTTGATAACCAGCCTTTCCACATTCACGCTCTGTAATGTATTTCTGAAAACCCTCTATCCATGGCATTATTCCATCATTTGAGAAGTCTGTAGACACCCCTCCCAATCTTCTGTATATTATTGAGAGCTTTCCTTTAGTGCAGGGGTGTGATGTTGCCAGTTCTACATTTTTCTTATGTATATCTCTCAAATTCAGCTTGTAAAGAAAAGGGGCAAAGGAATGCAATTAAAGCAGCAATATAGAAATCCATGTCCAATCCAGATTTATTCATTTGGTAATGGTAACAGTGAACATCCAGGGATTGGACATTGAGGTTACAAATTCCTGGGTGTTCACCT